AGGGAACTTGACTAAAACAAAGAATAGAAAAAGGCTCTCAACTGGGTTTTATATTTTGTCCTAAGAAATTTTTCTGTTTAAAAAGAGAATGCACAGCTCTGAATGCTTTAACTGAGAAATGAAGAGTCGTAGGAGGTGCTCATCGCTGTCAACCGTCTGAAGTATCAAGAGTGGAAGGCAGCCGGTGTGGTGGCGCCCTGCAATCCCAGCACAGGGAGGCTGCTGAGGCAGGAGAACCTCGAGTTTATGGCCAGCCAGGATTATACTGTGAGACCCTCGCTCAAGAACAACAGCAAAAACAGTGGAAGGCATAGGAAGAAAGGGGCCCTCTTATACTGCAGGGAGGAAGTACGATGATGCAATAGCTCCAGAAAAGAGTTCAGTAGTTCTACAACTGGTTAAACAGTCATCACATGACTCAGCAATTCTACTGCTAAGTACTTACCTTAGAGGAAAGAAAACACTATACCCCCCAAAATTTGCACATAATGTTCATAGTCATTATTATTTCTTAGAGTCAAAAATTTGAGAGGTTGAGACAGGAGGATTGCAAGTTCGATCTCAGCCTGGATGACTTAATGAGACCCTGATTCAAAAGTAAAAATAACAATAAAAACAGGAAAAGGGCTGAGAGTGTAGCCTAAGAGTGAAGGCCTTGAGTTCAATTCCCAATATCCACTCTTGCCCTCTGCATGTGCTTGCACACACACGTGTACACACACACACTCAAAAGTAGAGGGAATCTAAATACTGAGCAACTAAATTTGGATAAATAAAATGTGGTATTTACCTATAATGGAATATTATTTGGCCATAAAAAGGAATGAGGTATCGATACACATATATATATAAATGTTTTATTATGAGTGAACCTTGAAATTCTATGCTAAGTAAAAAAGGGCAGTGGCAAAATATTACATACTAAATGATTCCATGTACTATAAATGTAATATTGAGAACAGACACATCTATAGTGACAAAGTGGATTGTCATTGCCCAGGTTAAGGGTGTTTGGGACAAAAAGGAACATGACTGCGTATGGCTACAGGATTTCTTTTAGGTTAATGAAAATCTTTAAAAGTAATTATTCAGTTAGCCATGCATGATGGTGCAAGCCTGTAATCCCAGCACTGGGGAGGCTGAGGCAGGAGAATCATTGTGAGTTTGAGACCAGCATGAGCTACAAAGTGACCTCAGGGTCAGCCTGAACCATATAGCGAGACCCTGTCTCTAAAAGACAAAAATAATAATAAAATAAAATAAAAGTAATTGTCCTGGTATTTACGTAACTGTAAATATACTAAAAACAACTACATTTTAATCTCTAAATAGTGAATTGTATGATATTTTAATTACATTTCAAGAAAGCTGTTATCTACAAAAAGAAACAAAATGAAAAAATGAGTGTCAAATGAGTTTTCCAGCCTCCAGGGAAACACTGATCCAGCTATGGTCCTGGGCTGACCATGGACGATCTTGTAAGGTAAGGGGATCTTTTTCTTTTTGGTACCAACTCACAGCCTTGCGCTTGCCAAGCAAGTGCTTATGGCGCTGAGCTAAATCCCCAGCTGATAAGGGGATCTTTATTGTTGTGATTATGGGAGCAAGGAAAGGAAGAAACCCATAGCAGTTTATTATTTAATATTATATAAACAAACTAAAAAAGAGTTTGTTAAAACAAAAATGACCTGGGTCAGGGATGTAGCTCAGGCATAAAGTACTACCTGGCAAGTGCGAGGTCGCAAGTTCGATCGCTGGCACCAAAAAGAAAAAAAAGAACTTTTTGGTTTGTGCCCTTGATATTCCTGCTCTTTGTTTAGTTACAGATGACTTTTTCAAAAATTAGGGCTATATGAGAAGGGAGCTTCCCCAAATCTTCAAATTTGAATGCATGCTAATTCAATAACTAAACTTCTGTGGTCCCTCAAGAATATGTTGCAAACTGGAGGCTTACGAACATACCAAGTTAAACCCACAGAGTATTTGGAAATTTTTAAATTTAACATTTATAAGTCAAGAGATTTCACACAAAAATTCATATTTGCAGTTTCTCTGAAAATCAGGGAGATTCTGGCAATAGTGATGAGTGCTTCTTTTAAACTCAGCAAAGATAACAAGTTACCTTTATAAACTGATATCCAAGGTATTTATGGCAGATGTTAGCTTGTTGTTGCTCTAAAACTTCGGAAGAGAATGTTTCAGATTCCAGCAAAGAGGGCCTGGGTGGAACCAGGGGCAGAGGCCGGAGGTGGAGGTGAGGGCAGATATGTTGCTGTGCTTTGAGGCAATCACTCACTCAGGCAGGCAGTCTCCTTGCCATTCTCTCCCACTGCACCTCTATCTCTTCTCTCTGCCTTTGCACAAGTCTGCAGTCCAGACCTGGACACGTGGACAAGACAGGCCTGGAGCCAGGAGGCCAACATGAGTTAAGGATCTGTAAACCTCTCCTATTTTGGTGTACCAAACAGTTCTCATGTTTATCCCTAACAGTAAAACTGAACTTGAGTACTCTGAAAGATAGCTTAAATTTTATAGAGATAAGAAGAGTTCATAAAAGTGCCTGAGTTGAGGTGCAGCTCAGTGTAGAAAGTAATGTCCTAGCATGCATGAGACTGTAGGTTTTATCCATAGTGCTACACCTACACCACACACAAAGAAAGGAAATTTAAAAACGGTTCTTGTACTGGTTTGGAAAACCCATTCACAGGGAACAGACAGGGCTATTACAGTAGGATAAAAGAAAGCCATGTTTTCATTACCTCTTTCCTATGAAATTCTAACTATGAGCCAGGCATCACAGCACACATCTTGGCTTGCCAAGGCAGAAAGATTACAAGTTCGGTGTCAGCCTGTACTACATATGAGATCCTATCTCACAAACTAAAGCAAACCAAACCCAAACCCTACCATTTTATGAGGAAAGTGAAATGATGAGTAATCTACAGCAACATTTTTTTAATCTGAAATTGAAATTTGATGCTAAATTATTTTTAAATAACACCAGACAAAACAAAATATCTTTCTAAACTACATAAAAAGGATAAAAGTACTGTTTTCAAATGAGGAAAGGGAGGCTGCTATATTTTCTTCCTCATCTGCATATTTTTCCTCCATCAGCCTCTGAACCCTTACAAAAGTGAAGGGCTCTCAAAGGAACAATTTGAAAACCAATGACCTAGTCCAATGTTATTCATTTTACAAATAGGGTTACTTAAATCCAGAGAGGCAAAGTTACAGAACTTAGACCAGGACCAAGTTCTTACCAATGTTCTTCCTTTTTTTTTAAAAAAAAGTATAAATTACAAACATCTACTTTATTATTTTTGAAGTTTACTGGCACATTTTAGACGTACCACATATTCATATGTGTGACAAATTAATTCTGGGATTCAGAAACTGTCACCATTGTTTTTCAAAAGCTAGTAATTTTTTTCATGGTCATAAAGTTGGAATTGCTTAGAAAAGTCTTTTTCTTTTTTTTTAAAGTTTGGCAGTTGTGAGGATGTCAACCCAGGGGCCTGCTCACACTAAGCAAGCACTGTACGTACCACTTAACTACATCCCCACTCCCGTTAATTCTTTTTACATGTTCATAGGTAAAATGTTTAAGACAAAATCAGAAAATATGACTCCTATTTCAAAAGTATTAACCAGAAAAAGTCACTTCATATACAAGCTATCAATATTCAGATATATATAAACATTGGTACATAATATTCATTTTCATGACAGTGATAAGCACTGAAATATAAACCATATAAGGACATGAATTTTTTTTTCTATTGTTCACTGCTCTACACAGGCAAACTGAATTGTGATGCTGTGTGCTGAATGCAAGCTTCCCTTAAAATCTGTATGTTAGAAATTAACTCCAATGTGACAGATGGTAGTAAGGGACGGGGCCTTGGCAGACATGGCAGGGTACACCTGTAATCCTAGCTACTTAGGAGGCTGACGCATGAGGATTGCAAATGTGAGGCTAGCAGGGAAAATTTAGCAAGATCTTGTTTCAAAATGAAAAGAAAAAGGCTGGTGACACAGACCAGTACTAAAGTGTTTGCCTAAAATAAATGAGGCCCCAGATTCAATCTCTGGTATGAAAAGGGGGAGGTAGGAGAATGCTTTAGGATATGATTAGAAATTAATATCCTTTTAAAAGGACTCAAGGGAGTTAGCTAGTTCTTTGTCCTTCTGGCTCAACTGCCTTATAAAGATACAGTGTGCAGCTGCTGCCATGATCTTGGACTTCCCAGCCTAGAAATACATTTCTGTTGTTTACAAACTACCCAGTCTCAGGTTATTTTGCTGTAACAACAGGAAAGGAATGCGACATTGAGTATAAATAGTTAATATGATAAACAATTAACTATGAAATGCTTCAATGGTAGAATTTTCAATAATTTCTGACTTTTATTCTGTGGAAGAAAAGTAATGTGACATTTTGATCCTATCAGATGTCTAACTAAAATTAAACAGTAGCTAATGACACAAAAACACATTACAGCAATAATCTAGCATTTAGTTGAGAAATAATACTGCATTTCAATTAAACATTTGTAGGATTAAAATGTAATTTATGTGTGTTCTGTAAAATAACCAGAGCTTATCAGTACGTGTACATAACATGTGCCATACACAAAATCACAAACTTAGTGCTACTATAACTCTCTCTGCATAATACAAATCAAAAAGAACAGGACCACACCACTCAGTTTACATTACACGTATCACTAATTATGGCAGTCTTTTTATGTGGCACAGCAGAATTCCTCAACACTGCTCCCAGAATGCTAGTAATCACATAAAGTAAGCATGTAAAACCTGCCATTCCTATGTTATGATATACACATATACAGAGCATAGTAAAGCCATAAAACATGTTATTATTCAACTGTGATCAGGATGATAACGTCCTAAAACTAAGGAAGTAATTTCTGTATGAAAATAATTAATTGAATATTTTTCAATAAAAATTTGTTACAAAAAAGACTTAAACTCACCTTGTTGACTAAGTGACTGCTCAAAAACTGACTTGTAAAGGCTCCGAAATGAGGCACTAAGATCTTCAAAATTATATTCTGAGAAAAGTAGTTGCTTGTCTGGAAGGTTATACTGTGGCTGCTGCTGAGGAGTTAATGACTGAGAGACTGGTTCTGGATGGTTTGTCACCTGAGAAAAGAAAATACAGGTAACTCAGTAGCTCTGTACTATAAGTGGTTTGCTACATGATGCATGTAACTGGAATCAATTAGTGCCAACACTGAAATCCAAAAGGAACTGTTTTTGGACATTTGTTAGATGGGTACACCTTTATAAGTACAGAAAGCAAAATGATTAACATGGATCTTAAAGAACCACAGAATCTAATTTAACATCTATATTCATAGAGAGAAAGAGTTCAAAGAAACTAAATGACTTGACAAATCTTACCTCTAAATAAAAAAAACCAGTAACCATGAAACACCTAAAGAAGATCCTCAAGAAAAAGAAGAGATCGGGGCCTTGAGCTACTCAGGAGGAAAGGGAACACCATAAATACCGAAGAAAGTAAGAATTACCTTTGGAGGCAGTACAACTAGAAATAAAATTAGCAAAAGACACTCTCGGCTGTATTTCTTAAAGATTATACCAAAAAGTTGGAAGTTACCATTTGGTTAGTATTTTGAAAATTAAAGCCTGAAAGATTAAGATGTGAACATTAACATAAGATGACAAGTGGTCTTCTGAAGAACAAAGTCTCACCTGTCCTATCTTGTGAAAGGCAGCTATGGGGAAGCTTTTCTACCTTTCTCATCTGCCTCAGGCTCAGTGAGGCATGGAACTCTCAGTGCCTTGCTCCTAGGAAAGGCATAGCTAGTCACACTACTACTTAACCGCAGTATGGAATCTGTTCCTCCACTACAGAGTGACTTACTACTTGTGTAATCTGTCATCTGGATCTTGTGGTTTGGTACTGTTGTGTGGGATTCAGGGAATAGACACCATGTTAATCTGGCTTATCCTGCACCTGTGTATCATTTACATAGACTTAAATATTTTATATGCTAAAAGTCTTACACAGATTTTACATTTAGTCTACATGAGTAATAAAACTGTCGTATTACACATGGATTCAGCAGGCTCAATCTATAGTGCACATGACAAACCAGCAGCAGCTACTCCACCATTGCTTAAGGACTAGCTGACATCTTATTAAAATGAAATAGCAGTTTGTAGTGTCTAGTTGTCAATAGGGAAATGTGATCTGCTTTAATGACTGGCATAACTTAGTTCTATAAATGCTTCTTTAACTTTTATTATATTTTGTGATACTGAACTCAGTGTCCTGATTTACACTGACCTCAAGATGATTTTACACTTAAAATTATTTTTTAAAAATCAACTTAAATGATTAAACCTTTGCTTATTTTATTTCAGTGCATATTTAATTTGCTTCTTGACCAACTAAATATAATAGGCCCCCTGCATCCATGGGTTCCACATCAATGAATACCAACCACAAACAGAAAATATTTGGGGGGCAGAGGGCTGCATCTGTCCTGAACAGGTACCAACCTTTCCCCATGTCATTAGTCCCTAAACAGTATTGTCAGTGTAACAACTGTCTTATCACATCTATACTTCCTTAGGTATTATAAGTAATCTGGAGATGATTTAAAGGGAAGGGGCCTAGGGATGTAGCTCAGAGACACTGCCTGCTGGGCAAGCACAAGGTCCTGAGTTTGATTCCTGGTACCAAAAACCAAACCAAACTAAACCAAGCCAAACAAATTCAAACCAAGCCAAACCAAACCAAACCAAGCCAAAAGTACATGGAAGGGTGGGAATAGGATATATACAAACACTGTGCCATTTTGTATAAGAGACTGGAGTATTCTTTAATTTTCTTATTTATTAGGAGTCCTAAAGCCACCCCACCCGCACCTCACTGAAGCGGGATTACTGTAATTTTCAGGAGAAACACATGAAAACAAGGGTAATGTACTTCTGCATATCAAAGCCTTCAGCTATAAATGAAAATACACCTGGGTATAATACTGTTATTCCAAACCTAGAACTTATATCTTCTGACTAAAGAGAAGCCTGATCTGTGTTTTTTATATTTAACATTTCTTCTGCCAGGTATTATATGTGAAATTACTACGGAAATTTTAAATATATCTTAATATAGTTTTTTTCTCATTACTTTTTCCTAGGTTTCAAAAATCCTGTTAACTTGTTTCTTTTGAAAGCTGCATGTCTACAAACTTTTTATTTTCTTCTGCAGGACCACCTGTAATTCTCGGTTCTCCCTATTTACTGTGCTCTTTTATATAATTTTGTTTCCTCTGAATTCTTGAGAGTATTTTTTTTCAGAGCACTGACAGCAGTTTTGCCAGTCAATTTTGTTTTCTATATTCAATGTAAACTTTAATTTTGCTGCCTGAATTTTTGTTTCCTGTGTGTTATTTTCTTATCATATGTTCCTCCCTTTGTCTTTCTGTCCTATGGGGTGTTTCTGGTTTTTGTTTGTCTGATTTTCCTCCCAATTTACTCATTGTGGAACAGGAAGTGATCTGGCAAAATTGAGTTTGTAGTGATGAACAGCACTGTATTGTGGAGCTCTTAGACTCTGTCCACTGCCCAATGATAAAACAGAAGCCAGATGGTTTGGAAAGAAATTATCAGATAATTCAAGGATTGTGTTCTTGTAATAGGTAACAAATTAGAAACATGAACACTTACACAGGTCACTCTTTGGCTTGGCTTTGAATCCCTTTCTCAGACTGACAGGTGGAGGACAAATTAGTACATATATCTCCTAAGCTTTTTTCTCGAGAAGTATAGAGTATCATCAACTATAGTTCCACCAGAATAAAGCCCATTTTTCCTGCTATAAATGATTTTAGATGCAGAATAAAGTACATCAAAGTATGTGACATAGCATAAATGTGTATTTATACTAATGTAAAATGTAAATATCAAGTTAAAAACACTGTCAAGGTAGAAGTCTGGCCTACTTAAAAACTGACTAGTGAAAAATACGTATCTTCATTTTAAAATATGGATTTCAGTTATATTTGCTTCAGTTTTAAGCAGTACATGAATACCTAACAAAAAAAGCTAACTTTACTAAGACTTACCGGTGTGTAACTATGCACACTTCCAACACTGTTCAAATTAACAGATGCCAAACTCTGGTCTGAGAGACTGTTGTTAAGGCTACTGCGTGGGCTATCACTACCATCCTGATCCGTATTGTACAATGTTACCTAGAATGAAAAAGAATAACTAAACACATAGTTCATACAATAACAAGTACTTTTAAAACAACTATATAACTACTCAGTCAAGGATAAACTTGAGACTTTTATAAGTTAATGGATGCAATTTGAGATCATATTCACAAGTGAAAAAAATCAGACTCACATGTGTAAACATTGTATTGTCTCAGTGGTGTGAGAAATTGAAAGCACAAATAAGGTCTAGAATGTACAACTGTGAAATAGTTAAAAAAATAGTAATTGTTTAAAAGGAAAAAAGAAGTAGGAGCGGGGGAAAGAGGAAAGGAAGAGAGAAAAATGCAAGGTAGCTACACTGTTAGTGTTTCTTAGTTCACTGAAAAGGGTTTGTGCTAATATCAATTGGAGAATTTTTATGCCCATATCTTTTTTTTTTTTTTGTACTGGGAATTGAATTTATGACCTTCCAGGCAAGCACTGTGCTACTGAGCTATATATTTAGCCCCTACACCCGTGCTCTGAGCAACCTCTTTGAAGATGACAATATATACTCTATTAACTATTGTTATTTTATTATTTTGTTATGAAATTGTTTTACCTTTTTAAAATAAAATTAAAAACAGAAACAACTATATGAAAACAAAACTGAGCATATAGCAGGAAGACAAAACATCAATGACCTCATGCTTAAAAATGCAAGGGTTTAGATGCACATTCTAAGATCTATAGTCACTGAACATACACAGGTAAACAAACACCTAAGATGTGCCACCATACTTACAGAACTCACAGCCAGACTAACCCATACATGAGCTCCCCCTGCCACACTGAGATGATCCTTACTGAAAAGGAACAAACTATTTCTAAAACCAGGGAAGGAAGTTGCACAGGAAAAAAAAAGAACTGATCAGTGGTCTTTCCTTTGTCATTTACTCCAAATTCATATCCTCAATGCCTACTTCATGTTCAACATGAAATAATTTTCTCAATATTTTGAAAACTAAAGGACATATCTGTATAGAAATACATTTATTCATCAGGAACAGTCAGTAATTAGAGACTATAGAGTTTTACTATTAAATATTTCTACAATGTTTATTTTTATTTCCAACCTTTGAGCAAAACTACTATCAAAACCTTAGGCATCACAAAAAAAAAATACAAAACAAAAAAATTAAGGTAAGTATTTGTGTTGTATTTGTAAATGGAACTATAACTGTCCAACATACAAAACCATACATGAGTATTCTAATTTTTAGAAATAATATGCTTAATATACACATTAGACATAAGAGCTACTATGTGAAACTGTTGAACATGGTTAACTGGCAGAGGCTAGTACTCCTATGGACTTACACCACTGACAGAGTGTATTTTCTTTATACCATGGTTTAGTTTGTCTATAACAAACATTATAAATTTTAATTAGAAACCAAAAAGGTATTTTTAAAACAGAAAGCAAATTATCTTTCATGGTTCTGTTCAGATACTATCACTAACTTTTCAACATTCATACTTTCGTGAGGACAGTTAACCATTTAACAGGTTCCCCTAAGCATCACCTGGGCAACACTTTATGTACTATCCTGAGCATCTGGCATTGTTCAGGCCGGTGTCGTATCAGCCAGTTGATTCTTGTACTAAATAAATTATTTCTTGTTATCTTACAAAAATTAACAGAAAAAAATGTGAGTTTGGTCATGCTGCATTTAAATAATTGGACCAGCAAGTGGTTAATACACTTGACTTTAGAGTCTAACTAATGTGCAGCAAAATTTTAACCACTATTACATTAACCTTGAGTTCCCAATCAATAATCATGAATAACATAGTATTTTCTATATATAGTATATGATTAATGAGTATTTGGTGAATTTAGCAAACAACTGACCATCACTCTGTGTTAAAAATAGTAATGGATATGTTTCCCAAAATTATGCATTTTTTTGTTATTAACAACTCAAATTTTACCACAGAAAGAGAATATCAGTGGTTTTCCTTGAAGTGACAGGCTCACTTGGTTCATTTTCAAGAAAACATCTACCAAATTCTCAAGTTAAATAATCACTGTCAGCTATTTTTTCACATAAACACAGAAGTCAGGTTCAGCTTCCAATTCAATCATGCAAACCCTTGAAGTAACAAGTGCAATTCAGTCTGTAGAACTGTTTTTTATGCATCTTCCCCATAACCTCCCACAAAATACTAAAAAGATGTGTGCACAATATTTTTCCTGCTTTACCAAAGGTAAGTAAAACTATTTTTAAATTAAAGTATGTGGCAGTGAAGAATACAGTGACCATGTGTACAGTCAGATGGTCCTGCCTTGATTGGTGCTAAGATGCTAGAGGTATACACACTAACTTTGTTCTTGCCACAGCTGTGAAATGCAAATATAAAGAAAAAGACAAATAATATATGCTATTATGAAAAGTTCTGACTCACACTCCACCCGGGTATCCACAGACTGAGGGTGCTTTGCGCCCTGCTGATACCCACGTCACCAGCACTCGTGTACCCCCCAGTCAGCACTCACAGATGGCTGCTGGCCCCCTACTCCTGGAACACCATGTGAACTTTTGCATTGCTGCTTGGCATTTCCACTTCTAGCCAATTATAAAGAGATCCACACAATATATGGTTTCCTTGTTTTCTACATTATATCTGTTAGTATTACTTCTTTCTTTCCATTTTTAGAAAAATATATTCTTTTGTCCCACTAAACTTTACTGTTTTATCATTTATATTCAGGTCTTAGATCCACTGAAAGATAGCACTTAATTCTGTTGGATGAGTGAGTCTGTCTATCCTTATGCCAGCACTGTGCCACACTTTCCATTACAGTTTTACTTTTAACATTTGGAAATGTAAATCCTCTAATTTTCGTATTTTTCTTCAATTATTGTTGAACATTTGGATTCCCATTCATATTTTAGGATCAGCTTGTAGCTTTCTAGACCCCTCTCTTCCTCCAACAAACATCTTAAAAAGTTTTATTGTATTAAATCTGAAAACCAATTTGGGAACTGCTAACTTCTTTATAATAGTCTTCTACAAGAAAATGGTATCTCTTTTTTGTTTTCTCTCAGTAATTCTCCTAGTTTTCAGTATACAGTTTATCTTTCATTTATATTAGCATTTTGGATTATTTTTATTTATTTATTGAGAAAAAGTCTTACTAAATATCACCTGGGCAGGGTTCAAATTTGAGATCCTTCTGCCTCAGCTTCCTAGAGTGCTGGGATTACAGGCATGTGCTACCATGTCTGCCTGAGTATTTGATGTTTTTGGTCAGTATTTTTTTTTTTTTTTTTTGTACCGGGGATCGAACTCACCTCATGCTTGCCAGGCAGGCGCTTATGCCACTGAGCTAAGCCCTCGGCTATCTGATGTTTTTGAATGCTAATACAAATATTATCTTTTAAATTTTCTGATTGTGGCTAGTATAATAAAAATATAACTGATTAACACTGATCTTGCATCAAGAGATCTTATTAAAGAGATTTTATATAAAGAAGCTTTAAAAGGCTCTAAAGTTTTTACCTGTACAGTCATTTTGAGTTTTCTATATAGACAACCATGTCACCAGTGAACAATGATTATAGGGTCTGGCTTTTATCATCCATGTATTTATGCATGTTCAATGTGTCTTTCAGCTTCTCCACAAAATAGCTGTAACTGTTGCTCTTTTCTACATTAACTCCATCATGCATGTCATTTCTGGGTCAGTTTTGACTGCTTGTTTTCTCCACACTGAGATTTTTTATGTCAAGTAAATTTTAATTAGGTACTAGACACTGTGATTTTTACTTTGTTCATGACGCATTTTGTATTCCCATAAATGTTGAGTTTCTCATTTGTTGATTATTGCTATTTTACGTAAGTATTTGCTACTTCACTGATTTTTTTTTTTGGTACCAGGAATTAAACTTAGGATCACATGCTTGCCAGGCATGTGGTGTTCTGCTATATGCTCAGTGACTTCACTTACTAACTTTTGCCTTCCTTATAATTATGTTGTTGTTCTGCTTCTAGATGCTTACATTTTTACTATTCAACCTTTGTTTAGTCTTGTTGTATATATAATTAAGGCTATGATTTTAACTAGATCTCATAGGCCTTGATATGTCCTATTTGTATTTTTCATCAAAGTGTTCTATTTTCTACTATTTCTTCAATCTATGATTATTTAAAACTGTAACGCTTAACCTGCAAATTTTGGAGTACTTTCCTGGTACTTTTATTACTGCTACCTTAATTCCACTGTAATGGAAAATAAAGTGTATCATGTCAGTCTTCTGAAAACTGATGAGATTCCCTTTAGGACCAAACATAGATCAATATATGGTTATGTAACTGTTCAATGTATACTTTTAAAAATATGTACTTTGGAGCTGGGTGTAGTGGTGCATGCCTGTAATCTCAGCACTCAGGAGGCCAAGGCAGGAGGATCACCTTGAGTTCGAGGCTATCCTGGGCTATATAATGAGTTCAATGCCAGCCTGAACTACATAGTAAGACCCTGTCTCCAAAAACCAAACCAAACCGTGTTTTGGGGTGGGGTGCTGGGAATGAAGCTCAGAGGTGGAGTGCCTGCCTAGCGCACTCAAGGTCCTGGGTTCAATCTCCAGTATGTCAATAAAATATTACATTGTGCAACTGTTGGATGCAACATTATAATGTAAGTCAGGTGGATCAAATTTCCTTTTTGTGGTTCCAACCTCCACCTTTAATGGAAGTTTTGTTTGCTGTCTTAAATTTAGCCTACTTGTTCCAACAGTATACAGAGAGAAATGTCCAATTCTACCACTGTGCTACAGGATTTGTCCATTTCTTTTTTCAACCACATCACCTTTTGAGACTATGTAATTAGATACAAAACTTAGCATTAGACTTTGTTATCTGCTTTTCTTTCTTTCTGTTTTGTTTTGTTCTGGTCTGAGACAGGATTTCACTGTGCAGTTCAGGCTATCCGCAAACATAGCAAACCTCCTGCCTCAGCCTACCTTGAGTGCTGGGATTACAAATCTGGCTGTTATCTGCCTTTCTTAATAAAACATCTCTACTAATACGTCTACTCTTTGTTCGTTTTCTTCTCTCTTCTTGCTTACTTTTTAATTAGTCAAAGAGTCATCATTTTTCGATACCACTTGCATATTCTTTTACTACTTTTTAGGAGCCAAGAGCAGTGGTTCATGAGGTATGGAACCTTGATCAACAATTTACGAAAAATTTTAGAAGTTCTGGATGATATTACCTTCTTCCAAACAGCATTTAGTTTCCTTCTTGCTAGAATAAAATTCTGTATATTACTCTAAAAAGTTTAGACTCATCACTTTTTAAAAATCCATTTTATTTCAAAGCCAAAAAAATAGTATTTCAAAACATGTCAATCAGGGGGCAACAATGGCACATACACTGTGCACTGCTATCCCTAAATCATTCATCCAGAGCACAAGATTGAGTGTTCTGGGAATGCAATCTGCAGCAGCACAGAGAAAATGAGACAGATAAGAAAAAGGAGGAGGCCTTTAATGTGAGCACAGGAGAGCTTCACGGGGCAGGGGGTACAGAGGCTCTCAAATGAGAACAAGGAAGGGGCTGGGGAAGCAGTTTGGGAGGTGGGCACAGTGACATACAAACTGCTGATTTGAAGGAACATCTGCCTGTGTTAAAACAGGAGACAGAAAGATTTACTGGGGGCTGGAGATGGAGGCTTAGGGAGGCTTAGTGGAGGTTGGGACTGAAGAGAGCTTGGCACATGCACAAAAAAGGGAAAGGGAGGTTTATCTCTGGGTCCGGTACCAAGTTGGGAAGATGTCGCTAAATTGCAGGCTAGCAGACTATATCGAAGACATATGCACTCAATTGTCTGAACGTTACTAGCACAAATCTTTCTCTTCAATGACCTCAGAGAAATCAGTAGTATAACTATCTTAACTATCACACACACACACACACGTTTCTTTTGGTTTCTCACACTAATGAGACAACATATTTACAACACGTGTGAGTCTGATTTATTTCACTTATGAGTATGGTCTCAAGTTACATCCATTTATCTATAAATGTCTCCAGTTTATCTCTCTTTGTGGCTGAATAGTACTCCACTGTATAAAAATACCACATCTTTCTTATCCATTCCTCAGTTGAAGAGCATTTAGGTTGCTTCAAAAACTATTACAAATAGTGCTGCTATGAACATGGGTACATACATATATATGTATTGCTGTAATATGATGCTTTTAATTTTTCTGGGAAGATATCCAAAAAGGTAATAGCTAGGTCAAATACAATCCAATTTTTTTGAGAAATCTCCACAATGATTTCCTCAGTGGTTGCACCAGTCTACACTCCTAGCAGAGAATTTCTTTCTCCCCACAGCCTCTCCAGCATTTGTTATCAGTTGATTTCTTGATAACAGCCATTCTTTCTTGGGTGAGGTAGAATTTCAGTGTCGTTTTAATTTGCATCTCTTGAATGACCAGTGATGTTGAACATTTTGTCATATATTTATTTGTTGTTTGTATTTCATCTTAGGAAAGTATACTTATCTTGTTGGGGCACATTTATAATATAAAAATACATTTATGAGATGGCAAACTTTTAGATATTTCATGATCAATTGGAGATCTTTGACCAAGTTTCTGTTTCTGCTTTTTCTGCTGAATTCAACTGACCTTGATGGTGTCTACAGCCCAGCTGCATATCTCAGATGAGAACTAAGTCAGAATAATTAAGGCACTCAGGGGTAATTGAAGGGCCCTTCCCCAGAATGTTTTCATATTATGGTAATGCCCTTATCTGTGCTCAGCCTGTAAGGACCCCTCCCCTTGTTCCTAGAACATTTCTATTGTTTTAGAACTAGCCTGCTTGTCTATATATGACTCAATGTATGTAACCAATTATATAAAGTTTTGCTACTTGCCTTGTATCTATTGAAAGAGTTTTGCCCCAGAATAAGTTACAAAATTGGCAGTGGGAGGCTGAATCAGAGGATGTTTACCTTGAGGTCACTTCCTCCTTCCCCTATTACAACTTCCTTTTTCTTTTTCCAGTGCCGGCAAAAACAGTTCCAATCAGCTCCTCACGCATCATCAATGACCGCACTAAGCACCACTCTGGTCAAAGGTTACATATGTTCCACACCCCATATTCCAGTCGAAGGTGACAGCCCAGCTGCCAAGGGTTGTGTGCTCTTTCCCATGTCAACTTAATAAACTTGTTCATTTTGTATTTTTGCTTCTCTATTGTGCCAGAATAGTCTAACACCTATCACTTTTAAATTCTGTATGAACTAAATTTTTCCTAAATTCAGGGCTGTTGCTTTTGAGGAATTACCCCCTCAATAGTCCACGGATGTGAAAATCTAACAGTCCTCTGGTGTGAACGTTAAATGCTGCCTTCTTATCTCTTCAGTGTAGAGTAAGTCTTCCTTTATGCTTGGCTTGGTATGACTTGGGAATTTTCCCATAACAATCTCAGATGCGGTCTTTATCTGGCAGGACTGATTTTTTTGAGTTCTTTATGTTCAACTGTAATCCTTTGTCTGAGGTACAGTTGGCAAATATTTTCTCACACATTGTGGGTTGTCTCCTCACTCTGTTGGTGTTTTTTGTTTTTTGGGTTTTTTTTGCTGTGCAAAAGCTTTTCAATAGGATGAGATCCCAGTTGATTCTTTGTGATAGTTCCTGTGTAGTCAGGGGTTTGTTCATAAAGTCTTTGCCTACACCAATGTCTTCAAGAGTTTTACCTACTCTATCTTCTAGAAGATGTAATGTTTCTGTTTTAATATTAAGATCTTTGGGGCTGGGGATTTAGCTCAGGGGCATAAGCACCTGCCTTGCAAGCAGGCGGTCGTGAGTTCAATCCCTGGTACCGATAAAAATGAAAAAGACAAAAAAAAAATATTAAGATCTTTGATCCATTCTGATTTTAGCTTAGTGAACATGGTGAAAGATACGGGTCCAATTTTAATCTTTGGTATGTGGAGAGGTTCATCAATTTTGGTTTGCTCAAACAGAATAAAGTATTTTTCAGGTAACAACTTGGAAACCTAGGGTACTTGTCATTATTCTCTTTGTTGAAGGTCTGAACTACAATTTTTATCTCCTTTGTTTGGTAAGACTGCTAAATTCTGGCTAGTGGAAAATGTACTTTGTGATTGAGGTCAAGCACTCAAAACTAGTAGTTAGTAAATGTCTAAAGTACATAGTACAAAAAGTTGAAGTCCCTTCTGAAATTCCTCAGGGCCTTGGCTCCTCAAGATCCAGTTGTCTTATAGCCCTAAACTCCAATGTTGTCTCTCTGACTGGAAGACTGCTGTACGCTGTTTTGTCTAATCTGTAAAATGTTCCCAGGAAAATTTGCAAAGCTTATCTCAATTTGTTTGCCTTTTCTCATGAGTCTTGGAGGGGGATTTTATAGACTTGAGGACTTGTTTGATGTTAGCTATTCCATTACATATGAAAGAAGCTAGAAAACTTGTGCTCCTTTGACACCATGTTACTTGGTCAGAAAATCCTAGCATGAGTTATACTGCAAAGAGCAGTATCCTAACCTATGTATTTCATTAGATATTGTTCCAGCTAGCTGGTCATCATTAGAGATGATTTCTAGGAGTACAGATTTCTTGCCACTATTCACAAGGGTGGAGAAACTAATTTGGCAGGACTGCACTGAAATCCTAGGATTACCATTACCCACCAACAAACAAAGATAAACAGCCCATTCTCCCAAAGTGATAGTGGCCTGATAATTCCATAGCCTGCCTTGTGGAAAAAAAGCATTACTCTATACATATTAGCTGCCGATTCTCTTTCTACATTGGTATCTGACTGTCACTAAACAAAAAGAGCCTTTGACTACTACATTAATCCAATAATTTATTTAACTGTGAGTTTGTAAGGTGTGCATAAGAAGAATAAAAGATAAAAACAATGCAACAGCACTAGTGAGAGCCAGAAAGGAGAGGTGAAGAAGAGAAGGTAAAAGCTAAAGGGAGAAGACACAAACAAGACTGAAAGAGAAGATGAGTAGGAGGATGAAAGGTATATGGCTTCAGGGGAAATATAGGGTTGCACATAAGAGGAAACCAACACATAAAACTTAATTTACGAAACTCTCAAACCTTTTCAGAGTTGTGAGATATGAGACTTAAGAAATGATAATGAAAAAACATTTGTATCTCTCTAGATATCTAATCATTGAACATAAAGTTTTGACTCATATCACAAGATACCTCAATTATCACACACTGCTTCTGGATGTGTTCTTAGACTTAAATATCATAAAAACAGGTTGACTATCACTTCAATGAACTCTACTAGGTTGTCCAAATTATTTGTTTTACTAGATTATTCTGGCTCCCTGAAATCTGACAATTTTTTTAACCATATATATGAAGGGGTAATCAAAGTTCTGAAATAAATTGATTCAATAAGATGCTGGCTCAGAAATTCTATCCATGTGAACAGGCATAGTCAAGATTTTAAATTAATACAGTTTCCCAGTAAACAGCTTCTAATTTCTCCTGAGAAACATTTTCTTCTAATTTGTACATACCTTAAAACATTACAGAATTAACGTAAATGGCCATGAATAAAGTAAACAAATTTGTATCATCTATATAGATCTCTGTCACTATAAAGGCAAATTAAATATATTACTCAAGGACATTTCAAAAATGTTAAATAATAATGAAATTACTTTGTTAGTCACAGTGTTGATTGCCAGAGTTGGAGAGGCACTTCCCGAAATAATACACTCCATTCCCAAAGAATCTGAATCTATGCTATATGGAGTTGAGGCCTAAAATACAAGAACAAAACAAATAATTATTAGCTTATTTATCTAAGATTTTAACACAGTTTCAAGGGATTTTATTAAGTTCTCTAACATCCAGTTTTGTCCATTGTTTCTGAAAATACATAGCTACTGAAATACCTTTATTTTAGGATGCTACTGATCTGATACCACAAAAGTCACTGGTATAGCTATTCCCTAACAACTCTTTTAATGTGTTACAGGCTAGGCTGGCAAAAACTGTCAACAAACATCTATAGGGGAGACAGCTAGTAGTCCTCTAATATTCATTCTTTTCTTCTCCCTTTTAGTAACAGAACCCTATACCATTCCCTATAGCTACAGACTACCTTTTCCAAACTCATTTGTTGTGGCCACGTGACTAAAGTTGGCTAATGAGATGTAACCAGGAACAATGTGTACAATATCTCTCCAACAATTTACAGTACTGGGGATTGATACACTAAATTACATCCCCAGTCTATCCTTTAAAAAAATTATTTGACACGGAGTCTTTCAATTACCCAGGATGAGCCTGAATTTGGGATCTTCTTGCCTTAGTCTCTCATCTCAGAGTGCTGGAACTATAGGCATGTACCACCATACTCAACTATGTTTGTAAATTTTGCAACATGTCTCTGAAAGGACTTGTCCTGAAATCTCATTCTCTCTTGTTGTGGGCTGGCACAGAGACACAGTGGTCATTATGCTTAACCATAAAACTTAAGTATTAATACTCTGGAAAATGCTGAATAAACAAGACTGGTAAGAATCTGAATGATCCTGAGCAGAATTTATCTCCTGATCCAATCTGTCAGCTCAGACTTTCACCCGAGAGAAAAAGAAATTCCTCTTGTTTAAGCCACTCAGTTACCATTTTTTATTATTCTTTTGTGTTTAAGAGAATATTGTGAACAATATTCTAAATACACACACACACACACACACACACACACACAGTTTTATATGTGCTGTTCGTAGAGATAACATAAGTGTCCAAAAAAAAAAAAAAAAAAAAAAAAAACCACTGAAGGCTAGAGGAGAGGAAGGGGATTTAAAAAATTAAGATATATTATGTACACATACCAACTCCTCAGAAGGAATGTGATTATTACCCACAAACATGTACTAATTTTAAAAAAGGGTGACTTTCTGCATTTATTATTTTGAATACCCTCTCCCCTTGCTCCCTTCCATGAGCACCCAGGAGTTAGCCTCAGTGATGAAGTCAAGAAAGGTAAAGATGAGTACCGAATGGCAAGGAGGTCAGTGCCATGCACATTTCTCTTTGGAAAACACTGGACCCACACTTGACACCAACTTAACACAGTTTTAAAAGGTAATACTTATGGCTTGGATATAGCTCAGTGCTAAAATACTTGCCTAGCATACACAAGGCCATGAGTTACATATCTGGCACTGTGAAATAAAAAAGAAAAAAGAAAACAAGAGCAAAAAACCCAAAGATACCAAAATAGCAAAAGAACAATTTAATTGAGACACATTGCAGAGGTCAATCTCTTATCACTAAATTCCTTAGTATGGATTCCTTTCATCAGGTAATCTAAACAACCTAAGGGTTGTTTAGAAGAAGGAAAACATAAGCACTGAGAATGAGATGAAAGAGAAAAGGGATCCAGAAAAGAAGTTGAAAGAACCATAAAAATAGTTCTGTCGGGGGCTGGGGATTTAGCTCAGTGGCATAAGTGCCTGCCTTGCAAGCAGGCAGTCGTGAGTTCGATCCCTGGTACCGAAAAAGACAAAAAAAAAAAAAAAAAAAAAAAAAAGTTCTGTCTACGGTTTGATTTTAGTGCCAGCCAACTGAGCTATATGTGAGTTAATACAGAGGACTCCTTTGGAAAACTGTTCCTCTAACTCAACTTAGTCATCTCAGTCAGACTTCTGGGTCATTAATTCTTGCTCTTTACTGGTATGAAAAGGGAAACCTGTGCTATGATTTCATGCAAATCACTCAAACTTTTTGCTGGCTTCCTCCTATATAAAAAGAGGATTGTGCCACTGCCTTTAGACATTTAAGACCATTAATCAAGTAATTCATGTAAAACACTTAGCACTGAACCTGAAATACATAAGAAATCATAGATATTGTGCTAAACACTAGAATCTATCTGCCATTGATGCCAGAATATGCAAAGGAACACCCTGTACTAATTGATGAGAAAGGAAACACTTTTAATGATGCACTGAATTCCCTGAAGTCAGATTCAGTCAGTTATGATTCCTTAGTAAATTTTGAAAATCATGGATACTTTTATATTTCAATAGTCAGTAAAGGGCACTACCTCTACAAGCATAGATGTTCTTAATAGTAGATATTTTTATGCAGGTACATTGATTCTATATTATTAATAGGCAAGTACTTTGATTAGTAAAGCTAGTGGGTCTAGGCAAAATGATAAACTGTTATTACTACAACCATAAATTCAAATGGTAGACAAAGGTAGTATCAATGAACCTAATGTGGATAGTATCAGTCAGTCTGTGAAAGGTCCATTCTGGAGTTCTTATTCATTCAAGTTCCACTTGAAATAAGGCAGTGTAACACTGTTACAAACCAATCTTCTGCTATTAACAACTACAAACTATGGTAGCAGTGATAGTGGCTCAGCTACCTTAAGTTTCTAAAGAATAAATAAAACAGATATATTGTGGCAAAAAGTCAAAACTTGGGGAGATCAGCAACTGGATGAATTTCCTATTTCGCTGCAGCTCTGCCCCATGGTTGGATAGAAGCTGTGAGGTATGAAGACCTAAAACTATCTTTCTGTCAAGGTGAACAAGGGAAAGAGCTCAGGTTAAAATAACCACAACAGATAGAAAAGAGAATTCCATACTGGAAGAAAGTCAAAAGAGATTCCATAATTTTGTGTATTAAACACCAGAAAAGTTTTAGGCTGATTCCTAAAATACACAAGTACAAATTAGAAGAAAAAAGGATTTCAGTTCAAATTGGAGCCACTGCCTTGAGAAGACAAGAGGAAGAATTTACAGTTTGAGTCTAACGTAAGTCAATTCCAGCTAAAATAAAAATATCAATATTCTACAGAAGATTTTAACAGAATCTAGAGTATATAAAACATAACATCCACAACATCCAGAAACAATTCAACATTACTAACATAAGAAACAGGAAAATGGAGCTCATTTTTAAGAGAAAACCTAATCTACAAATGTCCATGCCAAAAGATGCTGGAATTATCAGATAAAGATTTTTTGGTTTTGTTTTTTTTTTTTTGTTTTTGTCTTTTGATTGGTACCAGGGATCGAACTCAGACTGCCTGCTTCCAAGGCAGGCATTTATGCCGCTGAGCTAAATCCCCAGCCCTTGTTTTTGTTTTTTAAGACAGGGTCTCACTATGCAGTTGAAACTAGATCCTCCTACCTCAGCCTATCCAGTGCTGGGATTATAAGTGTGCAACACGATGCCCAGCTGAGACAAAGATTTTAAAGTAGGTATTATAATTATGCTCAATGAAATAAATACTTGAATGAAAATTCAATGAAAGAAGATAGTGAAGAGATAACAAAATCAAAAATTTAAAATGAAAAGTACATCTTCTGGAAAAAAAATCCGTGGGTGGGCTTTATTTTAAAATTAGAATAAAAAGAGTTGAAAGACTTGATAAACTAAAAGATCAATAAGACCAAGTATGTAATCTGATGAAAAAAACGCAGAAAAGGAGGAATGAAAAAGACAGGAGAAAAGAACAAAGTCTCACAAAGCTGTAGACAATCTCCAAAGGTCTGATGAGCACCTATGATTTCCAAAAGAGAAAAAGATAAATACATGGAAGAAATGATGATTAATAATTTTAGAAATTTAATAGAAGATGAATGTGTAAATCTAAAAAGTTCACTGAACCACAATAACAATAAAATCAAAGACAAATCACACTGGGATGTATTCTAACTGACTGGAAAGTAAAGACAAAAGCCAATCAGAGAAAAACAGTGTTATCATATGCAGAGAAACATCAACTGGGCGATGACCACAGAGTTCTCATCACAAATGGTGCAAGTCATTAAGATAAGTGAACAGCTTAAAAAACGCTAACAGCAAAAGTAAGTCAACCCTACTGTACATCTAATGAAAACATTCTCAAGAAAGAAAAATATCAATTAAAAAGAAAAGAAAAAAATCAAAATAAGGACAGTTTCAAGGAAATGAAAACATTTATCTAGCCTTTTGAGGCAGTGTCTTGTTGATCGTTAGCTCAGTACGTAGTCCATGCTAACCTTCAACTGGCGACAATCCTTCTGCTTCAGCCTCCCAAGTGCTGAGACTACAGAGTGGACCACCACAGCTAGTCAAACTGAATTTAGTGGCAAATAGAGCTGCACTATAAGAAAGTTATTTAGGTCAAAAGTAAATACAACAGAGGTAAAACTTGAGAAAGAGAGATATCCAGGTAAATATCAAATATTACCTCCTTAAATTTTAAAAATTACCTATTACTAAGGCAAAAGTTTTTATAATGTATGCAGATGTACTTCATATTACGACTGTGGGGAATAGTGAAGGCAAATGCAAAGAGAAGCTAAATAACTGGACAATTTCTATGAAGTGGCAGAATATTAACTGAGTATATGGCAAAAAGTTAGGAAAGCACTATATATTAAAATCCATTTGCCAGCATGGTGGGGCATGCCTATAATCCCAGCAGCCTGAAGGCTGAGGTAGGAGTATCATTACCATAAATTCAAGGCCAGCCTAGATTACAGTGTCTTTAAAAAAATAACCTTTGGGCTGGGGATATAGCTCAGCCGCACAATGCCTCTCTGGCAAGCATGAGGTCTTAAGTATGAACTCTCAAACCCCTCCCCCCAAAAAAACCTTCAGTGTTCATATTGTTTGATAAAGCTTGCATGCCTATAATCTCATAATCTAAGCAACTCTTCTGAAGGTAACAATAATAAAACAACCATTGTTAAATTCCTATCATCCTCTCTTGAAATCCTGTATCACTATTGTTTTGCGGTTTTCT